CCGGGTTCCCTGCCCGGGAGTGGTGGAGCCTGCGAGACATCCCGTGCCTCTTGTCCCCCCGCAGCCCGGGGGAGGGACGAGCAGATCCCCGCGCGGGGCCTGGGCAGGCGGGAGGGAGATGCCCCGGCAGGATGGGGAGGGCTTGCACTGACGGCCCCTTGGCCCCGCAGACCTCCTGCCCGCCAAGAATGGCGAGGAGCAGACCGTGCAGTTCCTGCTGGAGGTGCTGGACATCCTCCTCAACTACGTGCGCAAGACCTTCGACCGCTCCACCAAGGTGCTGGACTTCCACCACCCGCACCAGCTGCTGGAGGGCATGGAGGGCTTCAACCTGGAGCTGTCCGACAACCCCGAGTCGCTGGAGCAGATCCTGGTGGACTGCAGGGACACCCTGAAGTACGGGGTGCGCACAGGTACCGCCAGCGCCTGCCGCGAGCACCCGCGGGACTGGAGGGCGCGGGGGGCTGCCCGGCCCCTCGCTCACACGGGCCCGCGGGCGGCAGCGCCGGCCACAAGTTTGGGAGACTTCATCCCTGCACTTAATGAGACGCTAGCGGCCCGCGCCCCCGGGGAGCGATGTCGTTAGGCAAATGAGGGGATAAATGACGCTGCATTTGCAGTTCTTCTTCTTTATGTTCGCCAGGCGCTTCCTGGAAAAGAGGCTGCAATCCTAAAACCCGATAATAATAGCAAGCCCGAGCTCCCACGTGGAGCAAAACTGTCCCTCCTCTCCCCACGAGCGCCGCGCTCCCCTCGCGGGCTGGTCTTGTCCGACTCGTGTTCAGCCCCGCACCGGGCACGGCTGGGCTTCTGCCCCCAGCACGACTGGCCTGAGGCGCCAACTCCTGCCCCCACTAGTCAGGGTCGCTCCAGACTGTTGACACGGGGTTGGCTTCACTTCTTCCCTTGGGAGCTCTCCCCAGAGGCTATCAGTGAGGGCATTGCTTTCCCAGTCCCATAAAGCTTTTTTTACTTTCCTTATGGCTCCCCCCCCCCCCCCCCCCCCCCCGCCCCACCCCCCCAGTTTCATCATTTTTTACTTTCCTTATGGCTCCCCCCCCCCCTTCTCCGCCCCGGACCAACCTGTCAAGTTTCACTAAGCAACACAACTGGGGAAATGATGTGTTAATTTTTGTCAGTCTTCCCCTCCCAGCACACACGGCTCACTGTTTCACGTCTTCATATTGTTTTGTTCCCTTTCAAACCACCATAGCATATTTCAGACTCCCAAACCCCAGCCTTTTCAACCGGTGGGCAGCCCTTGTTCTTTCAGGAAAAAGGAATAGTTACTGCACCTTTAATTAATATGCAATCCCTTGGCTGTGTACACTTATATTGTATTGTAAGTGTGGTTGTATGACTAGTACTTTTACCTTGCCTCTTCCTGCTTGTAGCTACTAGTGTTACATACACTGGCAGCTGCTTCTCACTCATGCTATTTAAGAATGACCTGACCACTGAGAAAAGAGGCCAGATGTGAGCAAATGCAGACACTGTAGCAGCAGGTGAAGACTTAAAAATAGAAACTTCAGGCTTTTAACAAATCAGCATTCTTAAAGACACTGGACAAACTCCCATTAACTTCACTGGAGGTCCCCAAATTTGTGAAGACTTTCTTCAAGCAAAATGCCCATTGAAGTCAATGGGATTGCTTTCCTCTCATTTAAAAAAGTAATCCATCATAAGAAAATAAGATTCTTGCTGAAAGCATGAACAGAAGATAAACTAGGTGACTTCTTAAGAGTTTCTCAAACCCTGTGTCAAGCCAGCAAGAGAAGAATCATTGATTTACAAAACAAAAAGATAATCCATGACACTATAACCTCTATTTAGCCTCTTCCCAGCCACTGATCAGCAGAGCAGTAACTGGAAACAAACATTTATGTTCATTTAGCATATCATTTTCTGGACCATGCAAAACTTCTGCTACATCTGGGTGGTTTAATGGCATTGGAAAAACTATGGCTTGTTACTGCTATATAACTGTAAAAATCCTGGTAGGTATATCATTTAGCTATGCAGCGGAGTGAGAGAAATAGCTAACCCCATACATGTATCTCATCCCCGGTAGTGTGGTTGCAAGTGAAATGTGGAATATATTAGCAATTCATTTAAAATGAGCAAAAAAACAGAAGATAATTAATGCATGTTTAATAAGTTGCATATTGGTTACGAAGGTTGTTCAGTCAGTGGACTGTTGTATACCTTCTATATTATGAAGTTGTACAGACAGTGAGTCATAAACATGTGGCATACATAGGATCTGCAACAGACTATACAGGGAAGTCCTTTTCTACAATTTTACTATTACTACTATGAAGTTAGTGAATTATTACTCAGCTTCTCATTGTTCAGATCAATTGCTGGAAGTTTATGTTTCAGCATGAAAGGAACACAGCTGATTTTAAACATAGTTTGCTTTATCAAATATGTCATTAACACCACCATGGGGACCCAATCCTGCTGGTATCTCAGTTGATTTCAGTGGGAGAAGGATATGTCTTGCCTTTTAAAAAGACTGAAGTGATTCCAAAGTTCTAATTTGCTTTTGTTATTAATAATATTCTTGTCTGTGGGGTCCAACACAAGAGAAAGGCAAAACCAAGGTAAATTAACTTGTCTCATGCATAAATATAGTCAGGTTTTTTACAGGATTTGGGTTTTACAGACTGCTGGGGACATCAACAGAGTAATATTTATTTGATGTAAATTGTTTCCACTGGAATTTTGGAATATAAAATGGTAACATTTTTATCAGAATTAAGGTTTCTTTAAACTGTTCATGTTCATGATAAATGTTGGACCAAATCTGACCTGACATTGTCCCTTTTAATTGTAAAAAATGGACCCACACCCTTATCATTTTTCTCTGATAAAGTTCAACTATTCAATTATCAGGAGAATTTTGCACTTTATAACTGTTCTGAGTAGTTCAATCTCCAGGAACCAAGAGTTTCTAATCAAGGGACCCTGAGTAAAATAATCTGGACAGAAAAAAAACCCCTACTTTTGATAAGATTACCATATGTCTGTCTTAGAGGAATAGTTTAGTTTGTTCTTGTATTTAGTCTTACTCTTTCTTTACAAAGAAATTCCAGCTAAATTGGAGCAGCATACGTGGCTCTGAAGTAATTCACAGAAGTGTTTGTAGCATTGTCCTAATTTTTCTTTAGCTGAATCACCTATTTCAAAATTTGTTCAGGGACTAATCTTTCTTGTTGAAGTCTTTGGGAATCTTATCATACTACAAAAGCAGTACCAGACCCAATGTAACTTATATTTACTGTCAAGAAGTCTGGTTAGCTCAGGTTGTCTGCCATTGCTGACTCCATTCCATTCCATTCCATGTTGACCAATGTATGTATTCTATAGAGCTTTCCTCTTTTTCCCATTTACATGCAATTTTAGCCAACGTCTGCAGGCCATGACGTAAGTAACCCCTGAATTATAGCTCTAGAGCCATCAATCAGAATAAGACCCAAAACAGTCTTTTGGCTGTGAGGCTGTGAATGTGTTTGCCTGCATTGTATTAAGAAAGCAGCCTACAACGTTTTAGAAGTTTGTGATAAGAAAATAACTGAACTCACAGACATGAATTATCTGAAAAGTTTCACTGGGCATGTCTACACGAGACGCTAACCGCACAGTAGCCTAATAATACTGCGCAGTAGTACATCATATCACAAACAGTGCTAACGCTATAGTGCTACTGCATAGCATTATTAGGCTACTGTACAGTAGCATCACTAAAAAGGTGTGTGGTAGCACTACTGCACAGTAACGCTGGTTACTACACATTTAGTACTTGATTATACAAGTAACTACTGTGCATTAATGAACATGTAAATGTGCCCACTGGCAAGATATTAACATAATGCATTTTGTCATATAAAGCTAGACTATTAAAGTGGCTGATGCGAGAAAAGTGAAATGTTAAATATAACAACAAAGGGTTTGTTTTCAGTTTTTTTCAATCATCTTTCCAGGTCATCCTCGGTTTTTCAACCAGCTTTCCACTGGGCTGGATATTATCGGTTTGGCTGGCGAATGGCTGACGTCAACTGCTAATACAAACATGTAAGCAGTCTCTTATTTGTTTTTCTTTTCAATAGTTATATAGGCTGCCAGGGCTCATAAGTCTTTTTTTTTTTAATTCCAATTTCTGCAACTCAGTTGTCATAAAAATGTCCCATATCACTTACTGTGTGTTTCAGGCAATGGAACCAATTATAGCCTTGAACAGTATTTAAGAGGAAATCTTATTTTACCAACACATACAAACTCAAATATCACAGAATAAATTGCAAGCAAAATATATCAATGTTGTTAAGGCTGTAGGAAATGGCATGACTTCTTTTGGAAATGGTCTCATTTATTTTTCCTAATGTATTATAAAAATGAACTCTAAGGTTGATTTCTTTTCATCTTCCTTCCTTCCTTTGTTTCAATTTGCATTCAATTTGAGTTAATTTGGCTTTATTATTGTTAAGATTAGAACTCCAGGGCTGCATCCAGACAAGCATGGATGTTTGGTTCCCCAGGAAGAAGCAGTGGCACACCTTGTGCCGCTGTTACTTGTCCCCAGGGAACACCCATGCCATGCACCCTCTGGAGCATGGCAAGTTACCCCAAGTGGGGTAGGGGAGGCTGCATAGGTGACATGTGGGAGGGCACATGCCCCCCCTGAGATTGGCCACCACTGGCCAGGGAGCAGGGAGCGACAGCCAGTGATCCATCTGAGAGGGTGGGGGCGCCAAGAGAAGTGCCGGTGGCACTTCCATGTTTGCGATTGGCCGCTGCAGGACTCCCCCACACTGGTCAGTGATCAGCTGCTGGGGGGCCCCCCCCCCCCCCCAGGATCAGGAGGCACCAGTCACCCATGGAAGGCTGGAGCCAGCAACAGTTCTGGCCCCAGCAGTCTGTCCTGGGGGCTGGGGAAGCTGCATCCATGGTGCTCCTACCGCTGGAAGCCTGGCTGGCAGCCAGAGCATGGCTCCCGTGGGCCAGGCTCCAGTTTAGGGCAGCGCATGCTGCAGCCATGTGCACTGCCCCATTTTTTTCTATGCAGGGTTTTTTGACTCTGGGATCTGGGTACTACGTGGCTGTGCTCATCTGGATGCAGTCCCGGGGCACGTCTCCATGAGATGTTTATTGCAGAATTGCCTAACTAGCTCCACACATCTCAGCATTTACACGTGGCCCTATTAGGCCACAGGAAACTAATAACCTCTGCACTAGGTTAGTACTTGTAAATACAAGTACTATCCTGCTGCAGAGTTTTTTCCTGTGTAGCAGTGCACGTGGACACTGACCCAGCTGCCTAGGGCATTAGGGCGCTTCAGTGTGAGGGCTGCCTGCCGACTACTCCTGCACTGAAGCACCCTCATGCCCCAGCCAGCCCCTCCATGGCACATTGATCCAGGTCGGAGCCGCCCTGGGCTAGCAGGCTGACCCCCTGGACTCTCACCAGCCAGGGCTGCTCCGACTTGGCTCAAACAGTGGGTGCACATGTAAATGTGGTACCCAGGAGCAATAAACTCCAGCGCAATATGCGCTGGAGGTTATTGCTGTGCATTAATATGCATATGTAGATGTGCCCCAGATTTAGTAATTCTTCAGTTACCCAAATACAGATATTAGGGCAAAATATAGAGCAGAATCAAGTGCATTTCTCCCACTGCTCTTTCTCCCACTTAGCGGAAGCAGAGCTGGGCCTTTTTTGTCTGCCTTACATCACAAAAGTGGCTTTTAAGACATTAAAAAAAAGAAAACTGTCAAAAGGATTAAAAACATATATTGAAAATTGACTTGGCACTTTGAAGGAAACTGAGATTTGTTAAAATCCACTGGGAGAGGAAGAAGATAAAAAAAAGAAATGTGTCTGAATTGTATTTAGAATGTTTTTTTTTTACAACAAAATTCAATGTAAGTGAATATGAAGTTCAAGGTATTTTGTTGAATTTCAGCAACAAACAGTGTCATTCAGAAAAAAAGGCTTTAGGCTGATTTAAATTGTGTATTATTTGTGTATGCTTCAAAAAGTGCTAGGAGTCAAAATACTTATCTGATAATAGAGACTAGTTTCTATTTCAGGACCTTATTGGACATGTGTTACAGTTGTGCTCATTGCACCTAAAATTATCACTGGCTTGTAAATGTAGATTCATAATTGCTAATATGTAGGGAATGAGAAATTTACCTACACACTGAAAAAAAAAGGATTATTTTCATTTGCCCCATCCCTGGATGATGGTTCATTGAGTATTGTAAATTAACAGTTAGTGTATATAGATTATCATATATATCCATGCACTATCTCTAGCAACCCCCCCAAAGTATGCAAATCAAAAACATTTTAAAAAGTGTTTCAGTTAATGTCCTATTCTTAAGAGATTACATTAGTAAGTCAAATGTGAAAAAATAATTGAAAAAAAATTACATTTAATTTGTCATTTGAACACTAACATTTCTCTAATACCACACAATACTGTAAAATTAAAAATCTTATTTAGTTTCTGAAAGAAAACTTCACTTAAATTCTATTACTCTATATAGGAAGAGCATAATTTATGATTAGGGAAAACATAATTTATTATTAAAGGTACCTGGTAAGTTAAACAGAAGTGTTGTGAATCAAATTCAGTTTGACTAACAGCTCATGAAATCTCAGTAAAGTTAATGGGGTTGTACAATCTTTGGCTCTATGACATTGTACACTAAGGCCATGTATATTAAAGAATTTTATTAAGAACATTGTTCTCAATAATCCAGGAACCCAGTTTCAAAAAGGTGATTATCTGTTATGAAGGATTTTTTTTCTTGGATTGATATATAAAAGTGTGCTTCTAAAATAATTCAGTAAATCTTATAGCCATTTCTGGATCATTTACATTTTAAACACAGAAATATATTAAGCACATTTGAAAATAATTTTCTGCAAGCTTGAAAATGCACAACTAGCCTTTTTGTGTTGAGTTTACCAAGTACAAAATGAAATACATTTTCCCTTTAACTCGACAATCAACAACAAGGCAACCACTGATCCTTCTCTATCATGAGGTATGCATGAGAGGTCACCAAGACCTTCGATGCATATGCATAGGCAAGAGTATGAAGGAGTGGAGGCTGTCCAGACTTTCCATCCCCACTTGAGAACATCAAGACAGAATCCAGAGGCCAGACTGAATCCAGACATTCAGTACTTCAATGACTGTAGTTATGTGTGTGTCCAGGAATCAAACCCAAGTCTCCCACATGGCAAATCCAACTTAACAGGACACAATAATTATAAATACATTTAAAGGCAGGTGCTTATGAAGTATAACATGTTTCAAAGAATTTGAGAGAGAAGGCTATTTAAAATAGGTAAATAGTTTTCATGAGCTGTGTGCGGGCCGGGAGCGACCCGAGCCCTTTTCCGTGCTGCACGCGGGCTGTGGCCAGCAGCCTGGGCACACCACGTCGGAGAGGGAAGGCCATCGAGCTGGAATT